GGTGTCCAACTGTTTAATTGACATTACTAATGTTTTGTAAGATGAACCTATTAGTCTAGCATACGAAACAATGGGCGACCCGCAGTGGTCGAAATTGCAGATCATTTTCGGTCATGTACACAAGGACACGGTCCACCCGGATGTGGAAAGTGCTTCTAAACGCGTTATGACTGTTGAGGAAGATGTTGATAGTTTGAAAGGACAAAAACCACCCTTGTAAAAATTGTATGTATTTTAACTGTGGGTGAGGCAACTACTACTATGTCGAGAAAATTGCATGTTATGTTTTCCTAATTAAATTGGAGACCTTTTTTAATCTAACTTGTGCTCCTCCAAATTGTATTGAGCTTGTCAATGTACTCCATTGTCACATTGTGACAATCTTCGTTCTTCCCGATAAATTTGTTGTAGTCAACCTGCTACCAACTGTTGCTTTGCAATCTATGTGCACCGAATGACCACACAAAGCTACATGATATGACATTTCAATGCACGTCTATAGGTACCTTTCAGCTTTTCTGCAAAGCTGAATTGATTCCAACATATGGATATGACGACTCTATCGTGTGGCTTGTATCAACTTTTGCATTATTGTTGTCGAGGCCATATCATTTCTATTTAAGCACCTCACTGCACTCCAAGGCATTCCACATTCGTAGAACCATAAACACAAACACTTGCATTTCGATATATAATTAGTTTGAAATATTTAAACGTGCGATGGCTCTCAGTTTTGGTGTAGTGCAGGCCGACTATTTGTACGACCTACATTGGACCCCAAAGATGGACGAGTTTTTAATCGAGTTTTTGCTTGATGAGAAGCGCGTTGGTTTGTTTGTTCCATTTGCAGCTAACAATAGTAGTATCGTCGATGCTATGAGGGAGATAAATGGGTTTTTTTAAACCCGTTTCACGTTAGACTATATAAACCAAAGTGTTGACAATTTGGGCAAAAGATACCATATATTCTCTCAACTTAAGCAAAAAGATGGGTTTAAATATGATGAGGCGAACAATGTTTACCATGCATCCGACAAGAAGTGGCATCAGTTTGTATCGGTGAGTCTTCATAATGATGTTTTTCTCGCTTTATTACAATTTTGTTTCAGTTGCAAAGTCAAATAAATTTTTATTTGCATGTAGTGGGATGAATTTTCGCTAACTTACATGGAGGAAGGCGATCCACAGCATGAGAAGATAGTGGAGTTGTTTCGCGTGGAGCCACCATACATACCTCCATTTGAGTATCATGTTTTGTCTGACAGCGACACCGAAGAACCTACGAATGCAAAGAAGGGCCGCGAAAAATGTGTTGACATTATAAATGTCGAGGGCTATAGTGCATATCCTCATCCAAAGAGTAAGATGGTACCGTGCCCTATTCGAAATGACATCCCACGCAAAATCCAACCACCTCGTCCAGCCTTTTATGCGGGTAGTGGTTCAAAGGCCTAAAAAAAATTCAATACACAGCCAGACCGGGTCAACTGATGGATCTGTCAGTCAGTTACCAAAGTACCACTCATATGACCCTCGAGCGGTTGAAGTAGAAGCAAATTCTGCGTCCACTGCGTGTTCTGCCACTCCAATGGATTATACGCCGGGTTGGCCGACGTACTAGGTCCTTCATATCATGAATTCTTTACTTTTGTGTTCCTACTTGTGTGTTAGTGCTTGTTGTTCTATTTTAATGTTTGTGTGTTAGTGCTTGTTGTTCTATTTTAATGTTTGTGTGTTAGTGCTTGGTTGTTGGACATGTTGGTAGTAGAGGTTACTAAAAACAATAATAGTGTGTTCCCGTGAGTCCATGGTGGTGTGTTGGTCGACTAATGGGTCTGTCACTCAACCAGATGCAACTTTTGAGTCCACTGCATGTTCTGCCAATGCTACGGAAACAAGGTTCGATAGGCCCTAGAACAAGGTTCGTATTTGTTTGCTAGTTAATGTCGTCCTACTTCATGATCGTTGGAGGTTCACTTCTATTATGCTTTGCATTTGCGTCTGTAGTGTTTGTTTTACGAAGTGTGGTATGTGGTTTGTGTGTACCATGTTGATCTCCATCCTTGCTTTTGTTTGTTTTGTTTTCCAAATCCTGTCATAGTAGTAAGTTTTAGGTTTTAGATGTTTCACGAGTGTGCTAAATCGCCTACAAGAAAAAACATTAATCCACGAAAACTTTTCAACATAGTTTGCATGCTATTTCGCACAATTTCATAACATCGTCTACTACATACTACAACAAATCCACTACATACTACAAATCCATGAAAAGTTTGCATCATCCGCCCAAAATGAACATTATCCCGAAATACCAAAAGGGAATTACCAAAACGTAGTGTCCATCAATATCCGACAAGGTAAAGAAATCCAACAAAACAGAGTGTTCAACATCCTTCACACAAATTCATGACATCATACCCGATAAGTTTGCAACATGAACCCAAAATACCACACAGTCCACTTGAGATTTCACAAATCGACTAAATTTTAACTTTGAATTTTATGATTTCCTCATGTGAGAGGAGACTGAAGGTGCAAGCCTACACCAATGTTGTTGTTATCGATGAACTGCCGAGCACGCCCATTCTGAATGAGTTTTTTCCCATGCCCGTGAATTATATCGACATCATAGAGGTTGTCGCCAAACTGCAAACTGCGGAATTGTAGTTCACGTACCGCCCTTCAATGAAACTCCTCCAAAACTGCATGGAAATTGCCTAAAATAATAAAAAAAACGATACAAAACCAGATGTTATACAATTTGCAAATTCAACATTACAATTGAGGATATAAAATATACAAGTCTTGTCAGTTACTAATAAACGGACCAACATACCAAACGTTCTCCACATGAGTTGGCTTAAATTCCAGAGTGAACTGTGGCTGCCTCTCGCATCCGTTAGGCTGCATCACCCACACTTGAAAGTCGAATATCGTCCTGGGATGGAAAACTAGGATGCAGCCTATGGATATGTCTTCTGAATGAATGAACTCTCTCCACCCATCCACTAATGTTGGGCAGTTGTTCACCATAGTCAAAGTCGTCTCGTACTTACGACCCTCAATGGTCTGGATACTGAACCTCTATGGAAACACAACACCACGGTAATGGCGGTGTGTGGCCGGAGGCAGTTCTGGAGACATACATATTGGAAAAGACAATTACAAAAAAATTGAATTTCAATGAAATAACAATGCAAAAGTAAAAGAAACAAACGTACCATCGTATGGGACGTGCGAGATACAATAGCCTTACAAAAATAAGGACCATCAGCAGCAATATCAATATCCATGTTGTCCATCCTATATCTGTCGTCACAAGATTTCCAAAAACATAATAAAGAAGAATCGCATAATACAACCTCAACACTTTTCATTTGCACTTATACGAAAAAATGATCATAAGCAAAACAACAAAACCGAGAACATAATTAACAGTACGGTTATAAAGTTTTACATATGCCAAATTCATCGGTTATACATCAAAAAGAACCAACATAGCTAAACCAGCAAAATCAAACAACCACAAATACTACTATTAAGTCTTCAAAACCCACATCAAAACAAACACATCAGACATATACAAATGTCTTCAAAACCCATATCACAAACCCCGCATGAAATAGTAACTCCTATCATAAGCAAATCAAACCCATTACAATCAGCCTGCAGTCGACCTTCGTGCATCATTTTAACCATGAGACATTTGTTGTCCTGGGACAGGCTGAAGAACATTGACAGTTTCTGTGGATTTTTACATAGACGCATGGTGATAATCATTTTATCTTCATTTGACAAGAAATGCATGTTAGACAATGAGTCAAACACTGCACTTCTTTTTTTCTCCTCGTCGTGCTCAAACCCAAGCCTACTTGCAATGCCATTCAAGCTTTTTGCTGTCTTTTGAGAGAATGATTCCATGATATCCAGAAATCATCCTTCCCACTGGCTCTCTGCAATCCTTCTCGTAATTTTCTTTCTCTTTCCAACCCTCGTACTGGACTCAGATGTCGTCCCAGATGTGTTACCCATGACTGGGTTACCATTGCCAAGACCTGGGGAAGCATGTCCGATGTTTTGATCTGATGGGGCATCGTCATTATCCGACATCGGGTTGTCCTGCGCTTGGACATCATTTGTTGCGTCCTCGAAGGCCTGTGCATTTTCACCTGTTGCTCTATCTTTCCCAAAAATTTCTGCCTAGTCGTTGATGTATGGGAAAGACTTGTTCCTCAATGATTCTGCATTTGGATATACCTACATTAGTTAAATACGACGGATGTGCAGAAATGATTACCACCATGGTTTAATTTTCCTGATTTTAGTTTTTTTTTTCTTTTGTTACAACATTAATCTACATGAATGGACTTGATTTGAAAGTATTATCTTACCTTCATCCATTCTCTCCTAACTTTATCTTCGCATGAAAAAGTTTTAGTGATCTCGCTCCAACCGAATCCTGAATTACCCTTGGTGAGTGCCACACTGACATAGTTTTTTCTCCACACATGTATCTTTGAGCTGATGTGCGGGTCTGCATGGAGGGTACAGTCTGGAAACTTCAACTTCAATCTTCTTTCAATTTCAAAATTGTACCCCTGCCTGAAACCATTATCAGCTCTCCAACCCTCCAACACCATGTCTTTCAGAATGTCCACTAGGACAGCCTCCTCAGCCGGACTCCAAGTACGTCGTCTAGCTGTTTGTGAGGAGGAAGCTTGCCCGGTGTCCTGAGTACATGAATAGTCCATAGTGGTACCTGTTCTACCAATCGTTTTGCACCAAATATATTATCTTGGACGTTTAAAATTAATACCATGGTCACAATCAATTTATTTATCACTTGACAATGAATTATCTCAAATCATTATTATGGTAAATCCAATAATAATTAGACAAATACATAATCCAAAAAAAAAACATGAATGAAAATCCGTGACACATGTAGTGGTATAAAAAAGACTAAAAGTAGACATGTATTTATTCACCGCACACTAAACAAACTTTCTTAAACCAAGGCACATTAGCCTGCCAATCATTAAACATATCGTGCGCCAACTGGTCACGGAAGTATGTCCATTCTGGGCTAGCCTCCACCTGGTCTATCAAATCATCTTCATCATTGGCTCCCGACAACGCACCATCAGGAATCGCAGGAACTAATGATTCAATGGGATCATAGGCCATCGATGTCCGTATGAAATTGTGAAGGAGCGCGCATGCCATGATAATTCGATTTTGGGTTCGAATGGAATAATATGAGCAACTCCTAAGAATTGCCCATCGCATCTTCAAAATGCCAAATGAACGTTCAATCGCATTTCTAGCCTTAGCATGGCGAAGGTTGTACAATTCTCTAAAGTTTTGTGGCCTGCGTGAACCTGTGCCCCACTCTTGTAGGTGGTATCTTACACCCCTATATGGTGCTAAAAAACCCGGACCATTCGTATACCCACCGTCCACCAAATAATAGTTTCCTGTTTGACAATTTCATTTAATGTAAATAATTAAAACATTGTGGTTCGTTTATTTTGACAAGAGGAATGGATAGTATTTTAGGTAATAGAATGAGTCTAATACCATTGGGAACACGTAGACCATGCGTCCTAGTAACCGCATCAGGCAAGACTGAACTATCTGCTGTTGACCCCTCCCATCCACATAACATGTATATGAAGTTCATGTTTCTATCACAAACTCCAAGTACATTCACAGATGTACGACTCTTACAGTTTCTATATCGTGCCTTGTCAATACCAGAGACTCGCACGTCAATGTAGGTTCCATCTAGTGCTCCTAGACATCCCTATGGACAAAGAAACACCCAAAAACTTATTAGGTGGACAGGGTTGAACAAACAAATTGGTACGACGTTGAAAAATTTGTTGTAGGTTACCTTGAACCATTTCCACCTTTCGTCGACACAACTTGCCTCAACTGCCTTTAGGATTGAGTGAATTCGGATGACAGCGTCAAGAACTCGGTTAAAGTATTTGCTTATGGTTCGACCGGATCTAACAAAATCAAGCTTTAAAGTGAAATTCTTCTTATGGTGAGCTAGGATTGACAGGAAAATAGCCATTTGTTCAGTTGGTGGGACATTTCTAGACTGCCTAAGACCGCCAGAAGTTTCAAGAAGGTGACACAGACGCCCGAATGAGTTACGATCCATGCGGAGGTTCTCGAGGTAAGTTGTATCACTCACGTCAATCAACCTTCGCATGTAGTTGACTTGAAGGGGCAGTCTATCACTAACTTGGAATAAAGGACGTGGTTACTGCCGAATGCCGACGTTTTCGACGAGGGAGGATGAATGTGTTATAGTAATAGATAGCTAACAGCAAAAAAAGTTGAACACTAGACATGACCTCTTCCAATATAGCAACAACCGCTAATTCTTCTCCAACTGAATCCATCTACAAATGTTTATGAACAAACCACATTGACATGTAATGGGAGCATAAACGTATGATATCAGAATCAAGCGACACAATTAAACAAACATGCCATACAATAAAAAATCATGGAAGAGGAAAAGTATACATCAGACGCATTTTGGCTAAATGACAGAGAGCATCATGTGAGCATTATCATGTTCATAAGCAAAGCATCTTTCACGGGGAAAAAATAAAGCAAACCGGAACCAATTAAAGAGAGTTACCCCAAATGTAGGTGCAGTAGCGGAAAGTAGAGGGAGAGAATGATTCACTCGTACTGTTGGAGCAAATTATTTTTATTTTTACCGAGTAATCAAAAGATTCGTTCCCCGGGTCGATCTCTCGAGGAAGACGGTTCGGAATTTAGCCTTGGTATTAATCACACACGAAAAGAAATAAATCCTAAATACTCTAATCAAGGATGATTTGGAGAAATATCTAAAACTAATGAGAACTAGGAAAACGAATAATGATATAACGAATAAATTGCTAGAGAAATAGAAGAAGTTCTAGGGGTCAGGAAATCTCATCAAGTCTCAAACTATGTTGAACGATTATTTGTTCGGCTACGAGATTTAACAAGCCTACACGTCTAGAGGGCTATGTAACAGCCCAGTTCACCCTCTACAGAATATTGTCCGCTTTGGGTATACACCAGATCATTCCCTCACGGTTTTGCCTTTGGGAGCTAGCTCACCAAAACGCGTCCTATAGGTTGAGGTGTCCACAGCCACTTATATGGCATGCTTCGTTCTCCTTAACAACCGATGTGGGACATCTTTTACTAGACTCCACCCCCCTTGGAGGGCCAAGCGTCCCCGCTGGCACACCAGTCCGGGTACTGGCTCTGATACCACTGTAACAGCCCAGCTCACCCGCTACAGAATATTGTCCGCTTTGGGTATACACCAGATCATTCCCTCACGGTTTTGCCTTGGTGATGATACCAATTGTAACACCCCGCCTTATCGTAAAATCAGAGTGCGAAAATTTCGCAAAGTTATTAAAAATAAAATCTTTTACTTTGCGAAAACTGATTTGGGGTGCTACCGTAAAAATGTGACTTAATTTGGAAAACCGTTATCTTAAGTTTTTTAATAAAATTATACTGAAAGCATAAAGTTTTCTAAAAGTCCGTCAAAATATAAGTTCGTCAAAAGTAATCATCATCAGCGGAAACGTAAATCGTCATATCAAAATATGAAAGTCCTGAAGCCTTCGTCTGCTCACGCTCCCTGCCCGACATCCTGACCTGAAAAACATGATAAAAGTGGGAAATGAGCACTATGGCACTGTGCTCCGTGGAAACTCATACTAATGTAAACATTGAAAATAATAACAACATCATGATATCAGTATATACATAACCTCAACATAAAGCTGGTAATAACATGAACATGAATCTGATATCGTCACGCAATGTGACCCTGACCGTTACCTCATCTGCCGGCAAAAACTAATGCCGGACACCATGTGCACACTCTAGTGGGCAGACTAGGGCCACTAGAACCCAGAATGGACCGGCGACCATTCCGAGCGGATACCTCAACTGAAATACATACCTCAAACATGGTACCATAATTATAATCAATGTAGTACTTAGTCTGAGTCCCCACCTGAACTGCTGAAACTGAACGGTAGTCCTGATGAACAATATAAACAATTACTAATGACTATGCTCAGACCGTTAACTTAACTGATTAATTTCGTTAAGATGCTCTACTGAACCTGACATGACATTTAGACTTAACCGGAATAACCGGAACTGAACTGACATGAACTGATCGGACATAAACTTACT